AAACAGCCCTGAGACTAGAAGAATCTCAGACTTTTCAATTTCAGGCGATGCACACCTAATTTTGATGAAATTTACCTTCATCAAAAATTTGTCAGATAGAAGTGATGGAGATTAGAATACTGGAGAGTTCTTTAATTATTCAAAAAAACAGTATCACAAGTTCAGTAATATGCAAGACTTTTATTAAAAAATATGCCAGCTTGCTTTAAAAATTATGGCTAACAAAACAGCATAATGAAAACGACAATAAGAAAGATGAAAGTTTCAAAATAAGGTCCTGAAAAAACACTTAATATGATTATTACGACCGCTTCAAAGAATACTCAAATTAAAAGTGGTTAATTTATTTATCTATATATTTATTAATCTATTTTCACTCCAAAATACAAAAGCCACATATCAAAAAATAAAAAATTCAAAATTCATTTCAGAAGCTCCAATGAAATTTTTGTAATTTCATGCTTACTTAACCTTCATTTATTTTTCTGACATAATATGCAAAAATCAAGCTTTCGAATACTACAATACTAAAGCTGAATCGTCTTTATTTTAAAAATTTGCAGCAGAAGTATCAAGAAATGAATAGAACTGAACAATAATAAAGTTCAAAAAAGAATCGCATTATGGGAGCGATGTAGATGATTTTGGGGATTCTTCCGGAACAGTTTCCAGGTGAAACCCTGTTGCCGAATAACCCTTTCGTGCATAACTGCTGAAGTGTGAGAAATGTGACGCATTTCTAGTACCATATTTTGAGGATATTGCTTCACTTTTGATTTCCGCATCAGTAAATGATTGTTTTGAATCACTTAAATTTCATAAAAATTAAATAAAAATTACGAAAGGAAAATTATATGCAATAAACAAAACTTAATCAAATAATCTGTACCTATCATAAGTGCCTCCTGATAAAGAGGATTTGGTTCGTTCAAGTTCTTGTAAAGCATCCATGACATTGAAATGCTTTCTAGATGATGATTCCAACAAACTTTCTGCAATGCAATTAAGAGGGCAGAAAAAAAGTTGAAATTTGCAAAGTTGGATTGCAATACATTTTTCATAAGCAAGAGCTCCTTCGTTTACAACTGCTTATTTCAATACTGAATCATTTGACCCAGAAAAGAAGAAAAAAAAGTTTATACACAAGATCAAAAACTTGGACTCGATTACATATTTACAGAAAAATTTTTTAAAGGGTCGTGGACATGAACGACTAACTGCTTAATCAGTTCTAACCCAAATCTTATTCGAATAACAGGAAATAATTCATCTGCTACTGTTTGGTTTTAATCAAACATAAATCAAAATAACGATAAAACTTTACCCACAAGTTAGCTTACCAAAATTCGAATCTTTAACATTCAACACCGCTGGGTTATATTTTGGAAGGCGCCAATTACGAGAGCAATGAATGATGTATCGAAAGCAGTCAAGTTCTGCCATAAAAACGTAAAAAATCATTAGCCAAACAAGTAATATTGGAATTACTTCACCAAAAATCAGAATTAAAATTGGTTGTTCATTAATGGATGCAAAACGCTTCGACAAATACAGGAAAGTGAGATTTGCCAGCAGAACTGCGTAACAAATCTGAAAAAAGAAAATTTTTAAAATGACGAAACGAAAATAGACAAACATTATAAATATAATTAATTTTAAGCTTATGCGATAATGATATCTTCAATTTGGTTTCAGAAAAAATATTTCATAGGTTGATCATCGGTATTCCATGAATACTTCAAAAACACACTTGCACAATGAAAGATGGAATAATGATTAGGAACGGGGGGATAGCACAATGCTTTATTATTCGACATCCGATCTGATGGATTTTATCTGAAAGTCTCAGAGCCGAAATGCCAGCGATCGATCTGCAAAAAATGTTAAATCCACTGCAAAGGGTTGTCATAGGACATAATTTGCTGCTAAATATTTATATTTTGAGTAGAGATATTTTGTTGGCTTATAATCAAAAGTAAATAATTTAT